TATTGGGTGGTCTATAACAAAGAACACTGATAATGTTTATTGATATAAACAGGAGAGTATTGAATTCATCATAAATTGTGGGAAATATTGTCAATTGTGCAATGAAATTATGGGGCACACACTGTTCATTATTTCTCTACTGTTATTGTGATGCTTTTGTGGAGTTTCCACAAAAATTGAATATTACCAAAACAGGTAAAAACAGAAGGTACAGGGCAAATCAAACATGGACAACTTTAGCGATTCATAGTAAATACTTACTTACTGAACAAATCACTTGCAATATTATTATAACAGTTATAAATACTGTCACCATTCTGATTTTTATTTACTAATCTGTTTAATTAATAATAGAATAGATGAGAGAACAATGGCCACCAAATATCAACAAGCCAAAAATGGAAAACAAGGAATAAACCCAGATACTTTGAAAAAGAGTACATGGAAGTATATCAAGTGCTTAAAATCCAGTTCTGACTTGTTTTGAGATTCTAGACCATAAACTAAACTGACAGGCACCAGCTAGAGTATGAATTAATTGTTATCATTACATTTTCAGTAATCGATTTATCCATGATTAAATTTGGTCCAACATGGTAACAAGTTCTCAACATGGAGTAAATTTACTGAGGTCTGTGTGTCCAGCATCAGCTGTCTTACAGCCTAGTCTATTTATAGCCATCCTATTATGATACTAAGGGGCCAGGTCAACATCTAGGGGTTATATTTATTGAGAAACACCAGCAGGCCCACTCTCAAGGTTTACAGTTCCACTAAATGAAACAGAGACTCTGAGGAACATTGATGTGATGTTTTGCTGCATTCCAGTACAGCTACACTATGGAATGCTGGTGAACAGCTGATTTGGATTAGGAAACTCAATGACATTAACAGACCTTTAGTCACTGTAGTTATTGCTGGATGAAAACAGATGCAACTTGGCTTGCCCTAATTATTTGTTACTGATTTACTCCAATTGCATTTGATTGTGATGTATCTGGTCGGAGTGCTACATAAAATAAAAAACGTTTTATTCAGGAATATGCTGTCAATCCCTGGTGTTGTTGTGTTAGTGGTGATACATCTTTTCAAGATGGACAATGTACAACATAGGATGTTTGCACACCGCATTCACTCTTCTGTAACATTTGTACACACAGTAAACTACAGGCAGGCCATTGAAATTTATTTGCCATGATGTATTGATGCGATCCCAGGGATTCGAGAGCCACATCTCTAATAAAATTCAGCATAAAATTGGATATATATATAAGCACGATTATTACAGCAGTGATTCAATTGCAAAACTGCAGATGGGCTAATTACACAAACCAGAAGATGAGAAGGATATACACAAAGCTAATCTCACAGAATATTACCTGCTGGATTACGTAAATATCATAAACATTGATGTCATGCGATTCCCTGATTCATTGACAACTTTCTCTTTAAAGACCAGTATACTAAGAATTTGTAAGATTTGATGATTCAAACATTTTTTTTGCTGACTTAGAAAATTTACAAATAGTGTCTCTCTCATGAATGTAAAATATTTTACAGTAAACTTTGAAAGAAGCAAACAGCCTAAATTCAAGATTGTCATCATGGTTAACAATAGACAAATTTAGGGTGTGTACACAACACATTATCTCCCTGATGTGTCTGTAGTGGTGTTCTCACTGGACGAAATAAGCCGTTGTCACAACGTCTTTTATTGGAGAACGTTGTTAAAATGTGTGTGTGAACAGAATACGCCGCTGTGGCGTCAGCGTTTTTGAAACTGTCGTAAAAAGGGTGGACCAGGTCCTCAACACCATTGTCACACCGGCTCTTGCACAACGCTATGTGTCGTGTGTACACAATACGACAGCCAAAAGCCCTCTATCGCCAACTTATTTATGCTTGTCATTACACAAGATGGCGTCAGAGGTTACAGGTCAAATGTCGAACTGGTCAGACGAAGAAATGAAATTACTGATATCTGGTATGGAGAGAATCGAATATTCAAAGCATGATGGATGGAACGTCTAGGGATGCTAGAG